TGAAAACAACTTATTTTAAACCGTTGATTTTATAGCCTGCGGCTCCATAAAAAACCGGTCAACAATGTTTGTCTAACATTTTTGCTGTAAAGCGGATTTCAATTAAATCACTCCGGTCACTTAAAATGCAACAGTTTTAAATGATTTAATCAGTTAATTTCAGTCAAAATGTGTACAGTTAGAAGCCGGCGGGCAAAAAGTGATTATTTGACTACAGTTATGCCATAATAACTTGAAACATTGACATTGGCGTTGATGCCATTACACATTAGCACATAATTATTTCTGATTTGTGTGTGCAATTTTCGGTGTATTCGCATAAAATGTAGCTGACGAGTGTGAAACGATTACCCATCTCAATGTTTGTTGAATATGAATAAAGTTGACAGTTCATAGTTGCACGTATGAAACGATTGACTCATTGAAATGGTTCACTTTGACATTTCTACATTCGCATGTTTAGCTATAAGTAATTCAATAAAGAGCATTCATTCTTGTCATAGCATTCAATTCACTCGCATCTTTTCATTACCGATACACCACATAATTGGCGACAAAGGAAAAAAGAACTTAGGAAAATTTCAAATTAAATTTTCATAGCGCAGTAAAATTTACGCACATTTTTTTTTTATCAAAGTATTTAATATCAAAGTAATAAGAGCGAAATGGGACTAGAATCAGTAGCTAAGTCGACAACTCAAATCGTGCAAGCATCGTCAATGCCGGAGTTTCAAGTGACCGAAAATTGGACATTATGGCACGAACGCTTCGAAATGCATTTATTGGAGATTGGCTGCGAATCGGATACGGTGAAAATTTCCACGTTGTTGAAATCAATCGGCTCGGAAGCATATGGTGTTGTTCACAGCTTGTGCAGTCCAACGGTACCGGCAAAGAAATCGTACGATGATTTAATTGCCCTTCTGAAGCAACAATACACGCCACCGAAAATTGTGTTTCAAGAAAGAAAAAATTTCTACGCAGCAAAAATGGCACAAGGTGAGACTGTTGCATCATGGTTTGCCAGAGTAAAAAAACTTGCAATCGACTGCAGCTTCGACGCAAATTTGGACAATTTCGTAGTAGACAAATTTGTTTGCGAATTGCCACCAAGGATATTTGAGAAGTTGTGCGAAGAGGATGGCAAATTATCATCAAGTGATGCACTCAAAAAGGCTATGCTACGTGAAACCAAACTTAACCAACAAAATGGGGTGACCGCATGGAGCAATGAGGTTGACTATGTGAAACCACGTGGTGGAGGCAACAAGCAGAAGGCACCGAAGAACAACAACAACAACAACAGCAACGGGACAAAGGCAAATAACGGGAAGTGTACACACTGTGGACGCAAAAATCATGCATCGAATCAATGTCGTTTCAAGGACAAGGCTTGCCATAAATGTGGGGTTATTGGGCATTTAGCGAATATTTGCTCCAACAAGGCTAAGAAAAACAATAATTCCATTCAATATATTCAAAATGATTACAATTATCGTGATGCTAATAATTTTTTTGAATTCCGTATACAGCATTAACCACGGAGAAGTTGGTGATTTCGATGAAAGCAAGAAACACGTGTATTCGATCGGGAACGGAGCGGATTTGCCGTACAGGCTAACGGTTGGCATTAATGGGATTGACCACACATGTGACTGTGATACCGGTGCTCCGTGCTCTCTCATGTCTATCCAGGTCTTCAATTCACTGTTCGATCGAAGCATATTGCGACCATGCACAGAACCATTCACGGGCTACGGAGGTGACCAATTAAATATTTTGGGTGAGTTCAAAGCTTGTGTTAATTTGCATGGACGGATCGAGTGTGGAAGAATTGTTGTGACCAATTATTATAGACCAACGTTAATAGGCCGTGATTTCTTGAGAAAATTTGAATTTGATCTAGTGCAATCGAACAATTCTGTAAATTTTGTAGATTCATACGATGAGATCATCTCGCAAATCAAAAGTGATTTTTCTGAAATTTTCAAAAGTGGTTTAGGGAAATGCAACACAACTGTTATCAAGCTTCCATTAATCAATGATTCCACGCCAATTTTTTGTAAGGCCAGACCCATACCGATGGCATTTCGTGAGAAAATTGAGCAACAGTTACAACAGTTAGTCGAACAAGACATCATCACACCTGTAAATGACTCAGATTGGGGTACGCCAATTGTACCCATTCCAAAATCTGATGGTGAAATCAGAATATGTGGCGATTATAAGTCAACGATAAATCGATTCCTTAAAGACTTTCGGTATCCACTACCGCGTATTGAGGAAATCTTCGCTTCAATGCAAGGAGGACAATTGTTCTGGATGATGATGCGCAAAAGTTGTGCACTCTCAGCACACATAAAGGATTGTTTCGCATGAAAAGACTTCCATTTGGCGTGAAGATAGCCGCTTCAATTTTTCAAAAGACAATGGAGTCGCTTCTTTCTCAGTTTGCCAATGTTTTTTGTTTTCAAGATGATATAGTAGTCACAGGAAATAATTTTGCTGGTCATTTGAGCACGCTACGGAAAGTGCTGACTAAACTTCAAGAAGCTGGTCTACGACTGAACGTCGGTAAATGCAAATTCTTTCAGAGCAAAATCTCATACTTAGGTTTTGATGTGGATAAAAATGGCCTTAGTAAGAATCAAGAAAGGACAAAAAGTGTCATTGATTCGCCGCAACCCACAAACGTTTCTGAACTACGAGCATTCATCGGCATGGTTAATCATCATTCGAAATTTATTCCGAATTTTGCTCAGCGTATGATACCACTATATGATTTGCTAAAAAAGGATGTTGATTACGTTTGGACAAGAGCTTGTCAAGAAGCATTCGAATCGATGAAGAAGGAAATTTGTTCAGATACCATTTTAGCTCATTTTGATGCAAATAAGCCAATAATTCTTACGACAGACGCATGTGGCACAGCCGTCGCAGGTCGTTTATCTCACATATTTGAAGATGGATCTGATAGACCGGTTGCATTTGTCTCACGTGCATTAAATAACGCCGAGAAAAATTATAGTACGTTTGAAAAAGAAGCACTTGCTATTATTTTTAGTGTGACGAAATTGCGTCAGTATTTGTTAGGTAATAAATTTATTCTTCGAACGGACCATAAACCATTAGTCACAATATTTGGAGAGAATAAAGGTATTCCAGTGATGGCAGCCGCTCGAATTCAGAGATGGGCTCTTCTTCTTTCAGGTTTCAATTACTCTATTGAGTATGTCAAAGGCGCACTTAATACGTCTGACAGCTTGTCACGTTTGCGACAATTCGAAACCACCACAATCCATGAAGAGGCTTCATACATAAATTATGTCGGTTTTGTCAACATCACACAAATTGATTACAAAACTATTGCGTTGCATACACGCCGTGATCCAATTCTTTCGAAAATAATGGATTCCGTTCAGAATGGCACACTCAATAATTTGCAAGGCGATGACTTTAAAGCATATCGATCAAAGGCACTTGAGCTATCAGTTGAAAGTGGATGTGTTCTTTGGGGATATCGCACGGTAATTCCAAGTAAATTACAAAAAGCTGTCTTGGAAGCTCTTCACATGTCTCACTTGGGAATTGTGAAAACAAAGTCACTCGCGCGCTCATACGTCTATTGGCCGAATATCGATAAAGACATTGAATTCATGATTAAGTCATGTGAACCGTGTCAATTGACACAACCAAATCCAGAGAAGAGTTCACTAATTCCATGGACTCCAACAGATTCTGCTTGGAAAAGAATTCATATCGATTTTGCAGGTCCAATTAAGGGATTCATGTTATTCATTGTGATTGATTCTTTTTCTAAATGGGTCGAAGTGTTTAAAACGAAAGACATCACATCAGCTTTTGTGATCGCCAAGTTGAGGGAAACATTCTGCCGTTATGGTTTAGTTGACATCATTGTCAGCGATAACGGAAGGCAATTCACTTCTGCCGAATTTCAAGAGTTCGTCAAACAAAATGGCATAAATCACATTTTCACAGCACCGGGCAATCCGTCCACTAATGGCCAAGCTGAAAATTTTGTCAAAACGCTCAAAAAGTCGATTGTTGCGAATATTAACAAGCACAAGAACATCGATATGGATGAAGTACTGAACAAATTTTTATTCGACTATCGCATCACTAAACACTGTACGACAAATCAATCACCTTCGAAAATAATGTTTGGTAGAGAAGCGAAATCGCGATTTAGTTTGATGAAACCACCGCTTATTCGTGAAACCATCATACAAAAAAATCAAACGGCAATAAAGAATTACAAAGGCAAACGTAACGTCGAATTTTCAAAGGGACAGCAAGTTTATGTCCGAAATTACAAGAATCCAAATAAACCTGGTTGGTCACCAGCAATTGTTAAGCACAAGATCGGTCCTCGCAATTACACTTGTTTGCTCATACGAGAAAATCGTGACATCAAACGTCACTTAAATCAAATCCGCGGAGCAGTGAATGATGATGGTGCATCGGAAACAAGTGCAACGTTAGAGCAAAACGATGAAGTCGAGCCGACTGATATCGTAGATGATGAACAAACTGGAGCATCCAGCGAAGATGAAGAGACCTCTGAAAACGAGCATGAAGCATCTGGTGGGGGAGAGGAGTCGTTCGACACAGCGAATAGTTCAAATGATTCAGTCACTATGGCTGATAACACACTGATCGATGGCTTTCCCATGCCCATACCTGAGCCGCAAGTGCGGCAACCGCAACGAGCCTGTTCGAAGAAGGCAGCTGAACAAATCACAAAACAATTGCAACCGAATCGGAATCGCTAGCTTCTTCGACACAAGCTTTGCACATAAATGTTATCACATTTCAATCGAATCGTATTCATTCAAAACATATTACAAATTCTATACCTTTTTATTTTACACTTTAGTATTCCAAACATGTAAATAAGATCATCAATCTAAAACAATGTAAATAACAAATGAAAAGTATGAATTCCGTGCAACTATCTTGAGAAGGGAGATGTTGAATATGAATAAAGTTGACAGTTCATAGTTGCACGTATGAAACGATTGACTCATTGAAATGGTTCACTTTGACATTTCTACATTCGCATGTTTAGCTATAAGTAATTCAATAAAGAGCATTCATTCTTGTCATAGCATTCAATTCACTCGCATCTTTTCATTACCGATACACCACAATGTTTACACCACATTCCAAATGAATCGGTTGCCAAGCACAAATT